CATCACTCAGGTAAGTCTTAATGGGCAAGAGAATCAGTACTGGTGACAGGAGCAGTAGCACCACCTTGTGTTCATGTGATAGGAAAATAATAAGTAACACCCCACTTCAGCCATTAAAATCGCAATACTTTTGTTCTCTCTGCTGCATATTAACGAGGGAGCCATATTTGTGGAAAAGGCGCATATTTTTGGACGTCATAAGTTTAGAACCACCAAAAATCAATACATCCATATAGATGGGAAATTACTGGGCAACAAGTTTGCAGTTTTGGTCAACATGCTAGGCAGTGGACATAGCATAAAAACAGCTTAATTATTGCCATGTTTTTGGTAGGCATCTTTTAAACAAGATTGTTTAGAGGTGAATTTGGAAAAAAGGTTTGCACTTGTGTACAGGAGTTCTTTCTGAATGTGAGATACAAGGTTGTTAAAACTTTGAAGGTGTTTTCTTTGAAAATTTAAAAAGTGAGCAAAATAGACAGGCATCATGCGATGATGGAAAGCCTTAGACAGGTAGTCAATATCGTAGGTATGCATTATTTTTTCCAAAGCGTGTAAACGTGGCACAAGGCAGCTTTTCTTTCTTCAGTCTTTTGCGTGGTAGAAAATGTTTTGTAAACAAATCTGTTCTGGTACACTTTTCATGAAGATGACTTCCAAAATACATTGTTTTACATTTCTTTTTCAAAATATCAACGTCTCTTTAGCCATTTTCTTGTCTCTTGGGGTAACATTTCTGAAGAATGGTATTCCATCAAAAATTGCAATTACTTCTTTCTTAGCTCTACTATGACACACTGTTTCTGGTGGACAGTCTGGGGCAAAAATTGTTCTTGCCTGGAACTGGTAATAATACAGGATTGCAATTCATATATATTTTTCTCTGTTTATGTTATTTAGCCTAGCTTAAAATACTCAATTCTTCTAGCTTAAAATACTCAATTCTTCTCAGTGAAAGGGAAATAGCAGAACAAATTCCCCTTTCTGGACCCTTCTTTTGGTCCAGAAAGTAAAAACTTCAGTTGTTTCCTACATCACTTTCTTCTTCTTAATCTTTTACAAATTTGACTGTTCCCAGACCAAGGGCAAGACTGTGCATGTGTGTCACTTCAGTGGAATGGATCCTTTTCCTGTTCAATAGGAACATAACTATAAAAATATATAATCATATATTCAAAACTAATAACAAGTGATCCTGATTTTCCTTTACATTTCAGTTTCTGTAATGATCTGTGCCTTGTCACAGTGAATGAGCATGAGGTGCAGCTAGAATTTTGTAGTTTTGATCATGCTTTTATCCACATCTCATAAACATCTACATCAGACAGATGTAAGGTATCATTAAAAAAAAAGGCAATGTTCTAAAACCACTGTGCACAACTACAAATGATGAATCAACCTCATTAGCTTTATCAGGTGTAAACAACAGGATTTTAAAAATAATTTAAGCTTTTGCCATATGCTTGGGATCCCATGTTGATGTATGCAGGAAAGAAGAACTATCTCAGTGGTGTCCTTTCAGAGTCTGTCTCAAACAACTTTTTTGGTTTTGTTTTGGTTTTGCCTGTTACATAAAGGCAGGGCAATGTTAGTACTACTCACCTACTTCTGTCACTTTCTGGCAGACAGTTTGGATCTCAATGCCCTTCATATTAGCATAGTTTTCTACCAGTATTACCAGTATGAAGGGACTTAATGTAAATGTTTTGTCTCCTTTTCCAAGTAGTTTACTCTTAGTTGAAAAGACCAAAACAAGTCAATCCTTGTATTTCAAACAAACTGTGTTATATAGCATAAACAGTACAGGAATCCAGCTGACTTCACGCCCCTGTTTTTTAAAACCTGTTAGCTGTGTGAAGGAGTGATTTCCATAAATGGCACACCAGACAACCACTTCAATTGTATGGGGAAGTATCTCATCCTTTCTTAAACCTTTACTTATCCTTTCTGTGTCCAGAAAACAGACACATAGACTAGGAAAATTCCCCAAAAGTTCACAGGTAAGTTTTTGAGGACTTCATCTGATTGTAAGAATAAAATGCCAAAAATAGTAAGTTTGTCAACATTGTTCTCAGAATCACATTATAGAACCCCTCTACGCGTGGTGACACCCTATCCTGGGCTGGTTGAAAATATCCTGTTCAGCAGTGGGACCAGCAGCTGGGTCTCAGGTCTCACCAGGGATTGTTGTAATGCAGGCAACAATTACTATTCCCACAGGAGGCACAATGATACATTAAAACCAGTGCTTCAGCATAACTCTGTTACCAATAAAGCAAAAGACATTGAATCACTGGAGACTTTTCTGAACTGGAACTAGCCAGAGGGTGTAAAGCCAGTCCTAGGCATCAGTAGAGCACTTAATATTATTGCAGCTGTGCACTACAGGTACTATGCTTTGCCACTCCAAGAAAACTTTTAGTGCAGGGAGCTGCAATACTAAAAAACCTGCATGCATTTTCATTCAAGGGAGTTCCATTCAGCACCAGCGTATCTAACCATTTTTTTATCTATAGTTTCCTTCTCAGCCAGCTTAGAATACTTTTTTTTTTCTCTTTTTTTTTTCTTTTTTTTTTCTTCTTTTTTTTTTTCTTTTTTTCCCCTCAATGCACTTCTGATACATTAAAGTGCTTAAGGGCCCTCATTTCCAGTTACAAATATCAGTGTTATGATTCTTGGAACAATCTGTGACTGTTCTTTCTACAGGGATAATTCCTCCACAAGAAAGTCTGTCATCCAGTTGGTGTCATCTCTCTTTGGAATCTGCTCCTAGTTCTGTTGGAGTATGCATATAGCAAACCTGAACCATCACACCTTCCAGTACATATTTCTCATGGACTAACATGCAATACCTGCATAGTCCTCAAAGTAGACCTTTTTGGTTTCCCAACATCCAACTCACTAGGAAGCATCCCATGGGTATCTGAAATTACTGTATATGCCAGATCTTCCAGTTGATATCTGGCAATGATTTTCCACTATCAAGACTATCAATTTTGGCTCATTTATCTCAGTAGTGGTTTAAGGAGACAAAGGTATGGCTAATTGTCCGCCTTCACTGTTAGTCTTTTTATATCTTTTCTTGATGAAATTACAATCTTTTTATGACTACCATGTGTTAGTGAGTACAATGGGCAACTTCAAAGCACTGCAAGCACAAGCCCTAATAGTAATTTGTGATCTACTAAGAGTGAGGCAATATTTAGCTGAATAAGATAGAACCTAAAAATAAAAAAATAATAATAAAATATTCCTGGACTGGTCAGCTGCCCTGCTTTGTTTCTTTGACTAACACATCAATTTCATTCTAAACCACATTCTGGTTTTGGATTTGAACTATTTCTGTGTTCAAGCTGTACCATTTCATTTTTGTGTTAATGAAAAGCAAATGTTAAAGTCTATCCAAAGAGAGAAGAAACCAAAACAACCACATCTCCTAGGAAGGAAAATTTACTCTTTCCTCTAGACTCAGGATTGTTCGTGACTCTTCTATATTGCCGAAGAATTATTCCACCTACTGGAACTAAGTCATAGACATTTGAGACAGACTTCTGACAGATGACAGTTCTGACTTGAAATGGCTGATTTTTAGATTCAGTTCATAATGATGTTTGTTTAAGGGCTTCAGGATTCACAAGAAATGCATTTGGGTTTTTACTTTTGGCCCTTCTAAGAAAGTAATGTATAGGCAGTAGTTCAACACTTCCTTTCTGCTGCGCAGGATACTTTAAACCCAAGAAAGAGAGAATGTACTCCCTAAAGTATGCTATATTTACCTTAGCATCTTTACGGCTGTGCTTTCTTTAGGGAGAGGCAGATTTAGATTTCTGAAATGTTTTTCAAAGGAGATTTCCTTCTGAAGGACTAGACCAACTTCTTCATTTTACATAATTTGGATTTGCATCTTTAGAAATCTGTAGAATAGAAGTGAGCATTTATCTTCTAGAAAGGAAGGTACAAAGTCAGTATTTAACCTTGTTATTCATGCAAATAATATTTTTTGATGCTATATTTGAAGACTTGATCCTTCTTCCCATCTTTTCCATCCTTTGTTTTTCAAGGAGGCTATCTTTGGAATTACTATAATTCCCAAAGAACAATTCCAAAATAAACAAGATTTCTCAGAATTGGGTTACAGCCTACAAAACACATCTACATTTCATATTTATGCAGATTCCAATATACACATTTTGGAAAGTGGGTTGTATTTTGAGCCACTTTCTTCATCATCTTTTTAATGCTGTTCAGAGTGCCCTAGAAACTAATTTCATTAGCAGAAAAATTGTTTTGTATATGAAAATCCTATCTTGGAGGTGTTTTACCTGTTGGACCAAGACATTAATGACTCAGTAAGATTTCTTGTAGGCACCTGAATGTTATTGCTCTGATGGAGCAAACTCAGAGCAGGGTTGTGGCCAAGAGCAAAGATTAAAAATGACAGAAAATTTCCATACTAGCAGTATGTTGGAACCATGGATGGCCTTACCTGGCTAATTCTATTTTATGTATGCACTGCAACACATTCCATTGGCAAAAATGTAATTTCTTTTTAATTAAAAAACAGTTTTTAAGTTCCCTTTATATTTTTTTCCTACAAATATTTATGTAAACAACATAAGCCAACTTCCTAAGTGAAATATATCCCCAGACCAGAGTAGGAAGAGGAACTGCACTTTAGGTTATGTATGCGGACATCCTATGCCTTCTTTATACGCAAACAAATAACAGGAGTTAATAACTTGTGTCCCCTGTTGCTGAATACACAGGCTAAGCAACATAGGTGACCACAGTGTTTTTTTAAGGGGTTGACGGGTGCATGGAATGCAACATGGGCTCAGGCTGGAGACTGCCTGACAGACAGGGTCCAGGCTGGGATGTGCACAGTCCCTCGATTCTTCTGGAAAAAGAAAAACCTTTACAATAACTGCAGATTTGACTGTTGTATGTTAAAAAAAAAAAAAAAAAAAAAAAAAAAAAAAAAGCAGGTGGTAATCACCTTAACGCCAGTGTGTATCCTCCTGAGGATACCTAGTGTCTAAATGGTGACAGCACGGCGATGCTCCCCTGCTCCGCGACCGGGGGCGGCCGCCGGGGACCCCCCCGTTCGCCAGCTCAGCTCGGGAACCAGCAGCAGCACCGACGAACCGACAGCTCCCCTTCAGCCCCGAGCTCTGATGCCGCTGCCGGCCTCGCAAGGTAAATCACCTCAGCGGGAGGCGTGCCGCCGTCCTGCCGAAGGCGGGCAGAGCCGCCGGGGGTGGGGGCTCCGCTGCCCTGCTCCGCTCTGCTCCGCTCCCTCAGGCGGGGGCAGCCCGTCGACCCCCTTCCCGGGCTGTGAGGGGGCTGTGGTGGGCTGTGAGGGAGATGCGAAGGGCTGCGAGGGGATGAGAAAAGGCGCTAAGGGGGCTGTGAGAAGGCGCCGGCAGCTCCCCGGATCGGGCCCCGCCGCCTCCCCTCACAGCCCGCAGCTGCGGTCGGCGCGAGGCGACTCGAGGCGCGGCGGCTGTGAAGGCGCCTGCGCGGCTCTCCCCGGGCATGCTCATTAACGGCGAAGGAGCCAAGAAAAAAAAAAAAAAAAAAAAAAAAAAAGGGGAAGGCAAAAAAAAAAAATCGAAAAAAAAATCCACCACCCTGACAGCGAGCGGCGGCGCCGCTGACACTGAGAGGAGCGGCTCCGGCAGCGGGTCTGCGCCTGGCCCCGCTTCCCCTCGCACCTCGGGCAGAGCCGCGGCGGGGGGGACCCGGCGCTGCCCCCTCAGCGGGCTGCGGGTGGGGGGCGATGGCAATGAGGATTTACGGCCGGAGAGCGGGACGCGGGCACCGCGCCTAGAGGCGATGGGGAGCGAGAAGCCGTCGGCGGGGCTGAGCCGGGGGCGCCGCTGAAAGTTGAGCCCGGTGGCCGCGCTCGGTAAGTTTCAGGCGAGAGGCGGGAGCGGCGCCGCGGGTTCCCCAACTTCGCCTCACGGCGGCGGGGCGGGGAGCCTCAGGGGGTAAGGAGGGGAGTTCGGGGGTGCCGGTTGGGGTCGGTGGGGGTCTGGGGTTGCTTTGGGGTTGGGGCGCGGTGCGGGCGGCGGCTGCTGTCGGCCCCCGGCCGGTGCTGCAGCGGCGGGCGGGGACCGCGGGGCGGCTCCGCTCCGGGCTCGGAGCGCGGGGACGGTTCCTGAGGGCGATGCCGGCGGGGTTGGGCGACCGAGCCGCCCTCCCTCCGAGTATTTCTGGCCGCGACGAAGCCCCGTGGCCGTATTCCGGCTGTGAGCGGGGGATCGGGGACGCCGAGCGCGGCCTCCCCGTGCTGCGGGGACGGAGCCGGGCAGAGCCGTGGGCTGCTCCCGGAGCGCCCCTCCTCAGAGAAAACGGCGGCTCCTTAATAACTTAATCAATTTTTCCCCTCTCTCCGGCACGCATCGAGCAAATTGTCCACGGGGGTTGATGTATTTGCGATCCAGCTCGCTTCCAGGAGCTCCTAACGGCTTGGGGATACAGGAATCGCCGTGGGTGTTATCTTGCGTGTGTTGTGGCACGATTGTGTTTCAGGGAATGATTAAAAGTTTTCCGAATAACGTGTTCCCGAGGGGTTTGGGGCTGTGAATGGCTGGTCTTTCAGAAGAGGAAAATAACTACAATTGATGCGCTTAAGTACAGATCTTTCCTTTTAAAGAGAGATGTGCGTTCCACTTGCCACGTTTGAGAACATGTAAATGACGCGTATAAATAAAAAAAAAAAAAAAAAAAAAAAAAGGAAAACTTGCTAAAAACATCTCTTAGGAACGCGGGAATGCCAATTCCTCTTTCCTCCTCGGAGCAATCAGGTGTGGAAGCAAATAAATGCGTTGTATTGATGGCTATATATAAAAAAGCTATTGAAATGTATTCAGAGTCCTATAAAGGCAGCATCACGTGAGAAAAGATGCAGCAAAGGAAATGTATTATTGCTCATCCGACGTGGTGTTATAATTTGGAATGGTAGTTTTTAAAAGCAGAGAGGGCTTGGTTTTAAAAACAGGCATGGCTCAGCTGCACACACGTGTGCCCACCATCATGCGTGTGCAGAGACGCGTGGCGGCTTTGCTGTGCCTTGTGGTCTCGGGACCAGGTAAGTGCCTACTCTCTTCGTACAGAGGAAGAAAATGCTGAGCCTTGGCATCGATGCTGATTGCAGCAGGCAGGACGTTAGCTCAGCATCACTTGTCAGGTCCAAATGGTATGAATTTGATTTTTAAATGACTGTAATTTGAAAACACTACTTGAAAAATGCAAAAGGAATAATGTCACCTACCTAATTGTTTGCTCAGGGCTTTGATTATGGAAAATCAGTCATCTCCATGTGGTTAGTAATATTTCCCGTTCCCATTTTACAGACTGGGGAACAGTGTGCCCCGTCTTGGCATCCCTCAGTGTATCTGCCAGCACCTCGCTATGGTTCTAGTGGGGCTTTAAATGATTTAGCGACTGAATAAGAAACAGGCGATGGCCTGCGATGGAGCTTGAGGCGTTTCTGCTTTCTTGTCTGCCACTTGCTCATCTGGAGTCTGTCTGCTGGCTGTGTTTCACAGTTTCAGCAGAACAGAGCTGATGTTCGGCACCGCACAACTGCAAAAAGCACCAAGTCAGGGCAAGTCCCGCAGCAGGGCTGCATCCTGCTGCCCGGGTGGTCCTGTGTCCTGTGCACTTTACAGGGTATTTGGGGTTGAGGGAGGCTGAGAATCTGCAGTGGTGTTACCTCACCTGAAATTCACAGGTCTTAAGAACAAGATCTGTTGCAACTACTCTTTATGACTTAGAGAAATACATATATGCATATATATCCCTATAAAAACTTGAATACAAGTAGTGGGTTTTTTTTGTTTGTTTGTTTTTTAATGAGAACCTGTCTTTCATTAAACTTTCCAGTAAAATACTGAGGTTACACAAAAACTCAACTGCAGAAAAGTTTACTAAATACTCAGTGCACTAATCTGTACAGGGAAAACAAGCCAGTTTCTATTGTGCTTCCATTTCTGCTTTTCATTTATTCTATGAACAGTGTTTAAAGGGTTCTAAGCTGCAGCTTTGTATTTTTTTAAATACATTTTCTACACTACAGATTTGAACTTCAGCCCATGTATTATTGACAAAAAACTTTCCTTCTGTTGCAGTGATTTTTTTTAATTTTTTTTATCTGTATTTTTTAGAAAAAGCAAAGATATATGTTGAGTATTGATCTCTTTGGCTGAAACTACCGTGCAAAGCTGTTGTGTTGTTTTCTACTTTCCAATACAAAATTCTTCTCATTTCTGAGTTTTAGAAAGTGAGTAGTGTGTGACATTGGAGGGAAAAGATCCCTTCTGGTTAAACGTTGTCTGAAGCACGCTGAAATCAAAATGACCATTTTGAGTTGGGCTTAGTATTGGCTTCTTGCTTTGGAAACCTTCAGCCAGCAGTTCTTGTTTTCTGTAGCCTTGATGAGCAATTACTGCACCCTTCCAGTTCAGAGCCTCTGTTAAGTAGATATTGCTGCTTGTTCCAAACCGTAGATGTATTTTTCTGGTTTTCCCATAGCTTGGTGGGGCACTGGGTATATCTATTTCACTGAGTGCACACAGATGTTTGCCAAGGGTTATGAAGAATCCATAAACTCTTTTTTTTTTTCATTTTTTTTCTTTTCTTTTTTTTCTGAGGTGTAGCAAAGGCATTTGGGGTCTTAGGTGTGACATTCTGCTGTGGTGTCTGAGTGGATCTCTGTCTTCAACAATTGGCAGTGTTTTGACATGTTTTGAAGAGTTCATGGTTCTGTTACAGAAATGTTAGTTTTTAAATCTGAAATGGGCGGTGAGTAAGTAGTCCTTTCTGTAGCTTGGTTTCAGGCAGAGGAACAGTTTTTGGAATGCAATTTTGGATGATGTTTCCATGCAGTCACTCCTGCATCACTTTGTGCTCTAAGCGCTGATTGGTTGAAGCATAATTCGTGTGAATGCCCACAGGCTGTGAGACGATGCTTGGGTTGCAGGGAAGGCTGCTGCATATCAAAGTGACCTCTAAAGAAGCATCTACTGAAAGAGAGGTCTCCTGTGGTTTGAGTAGCCCTTAATGGGCTACTGACTGCAGCGTGTGCATGTGCCTGGTCTGCCAAAGACCTCAGAGTTGTGTCACCTTAACTGCAGACACTGAGAGTTGGGCGATTGGGTGGTGAAGATCTTTGGGTGGCGTCTGTGAGCATTGACTTCACTTTGAGTAATGTGTCGGTAACTTGACCAGTCCTTCTAAGGGTGCTGCGATTAAATGCTACCATTACTTTAGTTTTTCTCCTCCTAAATCAAGTTATTAATTATTCTAAACCCAACTTCCCAAGTTTCTCTCATTTCTGTGGTAACAGGTGATGGGTGGGCAGTTGTTGGATCCAAACTGAGCTGTGCTCCCCTGCCTGGTTTGGGGCTTGTTTTGCACGGACAGCGCAAGGCAGCAGCTGGAGCAGGGGCTGTCCTGGGAAGGCATGGGGCAGAGGAGGTGTTGTTCATCGTGGGCTTCCCAGTGGCCAGGTAGAAGCCTTCCTGCTGCTTCCTGGAGACGTCAACAGCAGCAGTTTCTTACTCCTCATAAACACATACCTTCTTTCAGTCTGTCCTACACCAGCTACAGGGCCTTTCCTACCTCTTGCAGATCATGCTGCATTCCTGTAGATAGGTGCTCCTGGTGCTTCTTTCACCAGCTGCTTCCTTGTTCCCAACCAGTGCTGAGTAGGGGGAAAGTCAGAAAACCCACCAGAGGCATTTTTCTGATCCTTTTCAGGTTCCTCCTACTCCAACTTCTGCACAGTGCTTATCCATTCCTGTTCAGATTTGTTTTGTTCAATGTGTTTTGTCATCACAAAATTCTGATCCCTTCTGTCTCAGAACTAGGCTCACAGCTCTAGTTTTTCCATAACTACCTGACATGGTTTCTAAACCACCGAATATCCCTCACCTCTATGCTCGTGCTACAGAGGCACCTATGACCTTACTTTAATTTCTTTTCATTTTGCTCAATTGCTTCTCCAGCTCTTTTCTCACAGCTCCCACTTTACCCAAAATCTCGTTAGCTCTTCTGCAGAGCTCTGTATCATCTTGTCTAGCCCTGCTAGTCTTTCATGAAGTTCAGCAAATTGAAATCCACGCAGTTCCACTTCCAGCTGTTTTCTTCACAACTTTGATCTTACCCATGGCAAGCCTGGTGTTGTTTCTTCTTCATTCTCCTTTTAATTGAAGTGACCAATTAGTTACAGAACAAAAGCCCTGTAGTCAAAGTAATAGTCAAATCCTGGATCTTTCCTCTTCTAGGACAAGATGGATTTTAGAGCATATAGGCTAGCTGCTATTCTTGGCAAAGATGACCTTTTTGGTTTTTGCACAGAACAGAATTTTTGTCATTACTGAAGTTTTTAGGTACACAGGAACTCTCAGGGATACAGCAAATCTTCTGAAGTTATTCAGCGTATTGTTGTAAAAGATGCCTCTGGCATTTGTCCGCTAATGTGGTGTCTGTGAAGGGCTCTGTATCTGCGCAGTGTGTTTTCGTGCATGCTTGCTAGCGTGGGAGAACCAACCTCTCTTACAGTGCAATTACTGCGTTATAACGCTTGGGCTTGTGTCAGCCCATTAGCTGTACTCCAGATCTCCATAACTTCCACAGATTTCAATAAATCGTAGTCAACATGGACCTAACATCTTCGATGTGTAAAAGAGTAAAGGTCAGTAGTAGCAACTACTTTGGGTATTAAAAATGCCCAAAGATGGCAGATGAGGGTAGGAGCTTTACCTTTACCGCTGGCTGCTGTTTGAACCTCGCATGCTGCTTGGAGCATTAATAGTTCAGTGGTGCTTATTATCAAAAGCATTAGGTGAGTGCTGTAAAGAGGCACATGTCCACAGAGTACTGGTGAAGTTGTACCAAGTG